ATCAGAGTGTTATCAGCATTCTTCTCATCCTAAATCCAAACATAGCACTGTGTCAGCTACTAGGAAGAAAATTAACTCTATCCCAGCTGAAACCAGGACACATATTTGTGTAAAATATATATAAAATACTATGTTGTTACTGTAAATTTTGCTTTTTATTCCCACAAATTCACTTTTTTTCAGCATATCTTTAGATGCATTACTAACATGCAATTATTCTGCCCTCCTGGAATAGGGACCTTGCCATACAGTGTTATTAATAGCACTTTCATATCTTTCCTCTTCAGGTTTTGGCTCTACTTTTTCAGCAGCTGAGGAAAGTGTAATGATGGTACCAGCCTCTCCAGAAAATATCAGCAAGCAGTACAAAGTCAGCAGTCAGGCAAGGACAAGATATATTTTCCAGGGTCATCTCAAATGAATGAAAGAGTGCCTTACGCAGCAGTAAATGACTAAGGCCTTTTTAAATGTAATTGTTATGCTGACTGTATTTCCTGAAGAGATGAGAGCAATGGTCATGAGGGAAACACTCAAACTCTCTTTGTAATCATAGAAGCACTTTCACTGAATAAAGGAGGCTGAATCTGCTATTGGCAATCTTAAATTCTGGACTTGAAGCCTTCACCTGATGCATGAAGTATTTATCACACTTATAAAAGAAATGTAAACTCCATGGAGGAGGTTCAGCCAATCTATAAAAAGTAGATTGACCACTCTCACTTATCTGATGTCTTCCATATGCTGAATTCCAGAAAATGCTACCAGGCATCTAAGCCTCAGTTGGAAAATCTTTGTTTTACTTATTGCAACATAGATACACTTGAGAGGAGGCAAGCAGAGCTCCCTTCTGCTGTGATTACCCCCTTTGAAATACAGGCAAATCCTCATATGGTAGAAACTACTCCACTGACAATGTTTGCCAGAGATGCCCCCTTACCTCCACCGTCTCCCCCCCAGTCTGTAACTCTGACAAGACTGCTTTGTTTGAATCCAAAGCTAGGATATTGTGTAAACAGGAGCAAAGTTGACTGATGATAAATTTGGCCTGAATCATTATGTAACATATAGAGAGGTGACAAACTGATCTCCTGTGGTTTTAGTTGACCATTTACTCAAGGGCTTTGCTGAATTCAGGTTTGCTATGTTAGAAAAAATAATGCCTCACAGTGAAATTCCCCACCAGTTCACCTGATGACCAGTAGGAGGAAGTGATTAGCCAGTGTGAAAGGAGGCAAAGTGGAGAACTCTCATACATAAGACAGCATAATATGTCACCTGTGAATCATAGCTAAGAAAGTTCTAAGGAAACAATTGCGGTGATCACATTTTGCTAAGTGAAAGGTCATTTTAAAATAATAATTGAAATTCCTGGTATTCTTCTCTAGAAAAAAGAATGGTTGGTGTGCTGAGGAGACAAAGAGAAAGAGCTAGAAGTTAATGCCAGTGACTTTTTTTCCCAGCTTTCCAAAGTGACTATAGAGTGTGCAGTTTAAAATTAGAATATTTTGTTCCACCTGTATTTCCACCTTTACTGTAATTGTATCATTCTTGCCTCTGTCAGGTCTTTCATGAGTGTTTCCTGGAACCATGCCACAACAATGGGACATGCAAACAGTTGGGAAGTGGATATATTTGCATATGCCCACTTGGATATACAGGTAAAAAATTGAGAAGCAGGTGGCGGAGCTGACATGTCTCCATGCCCTTAACATGAGCAAGCATAAAGGAGCAAAACATTTCAGTGCAAGAGTATAGCCTAACTAACTGTAATACCCACCACAGATTTACCATACATAGTATTAAGAAAAGAAATTGTGCCTCGTATTCTTGCTGAATTATATTGTGTTTGGCAGAAAAAAAATTTGAATGGGGTTTCTTTTAGTGGCATTATTGGATTTGAAAATCCTGTCACTTGGCAATATTTATGATTTGCAAATCTGGAAATTTGCCCTCTAAACAGCTAATTCCACCAGATCTGCCTGTACTCCTCTTCACTGTTAGCTTCCCAGTTGCTTCAAAGCTGTTGACTTATTATTTGGCTATTATCAAGAAGTGATCTCTGTTACTTGTGATAGGTATTAACTGCCACTATTTGGAACTGATCGTCTGTTACCTGATGTGCATCATATCTTTCTAACAGCATTTTGTCTCAGGTCTGTGTTAAAACACAAGCTAAAGAGAAGATAATAAACCTTAATGTCCGGTAACGTATGCAATAAATCAGTTGTGTTTTCCTACATTAATTAGTCATGACTTCTATGTTGCTGAACAATGTCAAATTTTGTCTCCCTGTTCTGAGTCCTTTATTTTGCATTCTAGGCTTGAAATGTGAAACAGAAGTTGATGAGTGTAAATCATCTCCTTGTCGCAATGGAATGTGTAAAGATGGCATTGGGACCTTTGTTTGCCATTGTCAACCAGGCTATTCAGGTAATTTGTTTCACTTCATAGCTCTTCTTCAGACAGGCATTGTTTCTCTGCCAAGTAGATAACACAAAACACAAGGGCTGTATAATTCCACATCCGTGGAATTATAACAGGAAAGCAGTGTGATCTACAGGTTAGAGTAAGGTTTTGCTCTATGTGAATAGGTTTTGAAATAAAAGGATGAGTATTCAAGGACAGTCTGTGTGCATGTTTGTGCATGTATGCTTCTGTTTTGTGACATTTTTGGTCTGAAAAAAAAAAGAATTAAGTTTGGGGAATTAGTAAATACTCACAGGGAAAACGCTTGTGAGACTGAATGTAGCCTGACTAGACAAAGCATTTATGCAGTTGCTTTACTGCAGCCCTATGATTGAGTGGACTTTTTCTTATGTTTTTCTCAGTCTTTTTAACTCTCACCTGCATGCATGTTGAACATATTGAAATC